CCCCCCCCCCCACTTTCTGTCTTCTACGTCGCCCTCAATTTCTTGCGGGACGCATCCGGTGTATCAGTTTAGCAGACTCAGAGCTTATCTCTCTTTTCTTTCCCTTTTTTTCCTTCTCCAGCGTGCTTCTTTTCTCCCTCAACCACTTTTTTTTTGTTCTTCTTAATTTCATTTCGTTCCTCCCCCCCTGCTGGTCACTATTTTTTTTTTCCCCAGTGCCTTCTCTTCATTACCCAACGCTGCCTTTTCCTTCTCGCGCGCCTCGTCCTTGCCGCTGCCGGTCCCCTGCGTGGGGAGAGCGGCGGGGGCGGCCTCAGTCCGTCCACGGGAAGTTCTTGCCCTCCTGGTCGCTCACCAGCCGCTCGCGCCCCTTGGTGGAGACGACGGCGCCGGTGTCGGCGTTGACGGCGATGAGCGTGGGGATTGCCTCGACGTTGAACGTCTTGCGGAGCGACTCGATCTCGTCGCGGTTCGCGAAGGGGATCGCGAGCCACGGCATCTTGGCGTAGTACTCGGTGAAGCCGTCCTCCTCCTCGTCCCAGCTGACGAGGACGACCTCGAAGTTCTTCGACTCGTGGAATTTATTGTAGAACTCCGCCAGCACCGGGGTGAAGCCGCGGCAGGGCGGGCACCACGAGGCGGAGAAGTAAAAGAACACCGTCTTCCCGGCGAGGGAGCCGGGGCTGACGCCGCCCGACTTGCCGAGCAGCTGCAAGGCGCCCGGAACGTACTTCGCCAAACCAGCCATATCTCTGCTCGCTTACGGATAATATAACCTCGCGGGGTCTGCGCTTAAATGATTGTTTACCGGTATTTCTCTAGACTCCTTTCTGCGGAAGAGGAGTAGCACAAAAAGAAAAGGAGGGAACAATCGAAAACGGATCTTTAAAGGAGCCGGAAAAGAGCAACGGGGCGGTCGGTCACTGAAGCGGACCCACCGCCGCTCCGCCTCCGCTTGGGAGTAGTGCTTGAGCGTCAAGCTGGTCATACTCGTGGGTGGCTCTCACTCGAACTTTATGTGCGCCTGGTCAAGGCTTTGTCCCAAGTATTTCTCTAAACAACAGGGAAAGCAATGGAGGGAAGAGAGCAACTTGTGCCCACTGCGCCCAAGATCCCCCCCAACGCCCCAACTGAAGCGCAGATTCCTCCCACACACACGCCCGGCAGTGAGGAAGCGAATTCAGGCAGGCACACAACACGACGGCAACTGGGCCCTTGTGGTGGACTCAAGGGGGCGGCAGCTTTCGAGGCCGCGCAACCGCCAGACTCCCTCCGTGAGGCGAGCAGCGGTGGCAGTGGTAGCATTAGTGACGGGTTGGGGAGGGCAAGAAAGTGCGCACACACACACGCGCACACACTGGCCCCCCACGCGGCATCGCTGGTAAGAAATATC